GTGCGTGCAGTGGACAAGAAGATGTGGAGGGATGGTCCGCTTGGACCACCCCACCCCAGGGTCGTCGCCTCTGCTGTGAGGCAAAAGAAAATGGCAGGATGAATGTGCATGCAGTGGGCAAGAAGATGTGGAGGGATGGTCCGCTTGGACCGCCCCACCCCAGGGTTGTCGCCTCTGCTGTGAGGCAAAAGAAAATGGCAGGATGAATGTGCATGCAGTGGGCAAGAAGATGTGGAGGGATGGTCCACTTGGACCGCCCCACCCCAGGGTTGTCGCCTCTGCTGTGAGGCAAAAGAAAATGGCAGGATGAATGTGCATGCAGTGGGCAAGAAGATGTGGAGGACCCCAGGGCCGTTGCCCCTGCTGTGAGGAATGTGCGTGCAGTGGACAAGAAGATGTGGAGGGATGGTCTGCTTGGACCACCCCACCCCAGGGTCGTCGCCTCTGCTGTGAGGCAAAAGAAAATGGTGGGATGAAATGTGCATGCAGTGGACAAGAAGATGTGGAGGGATGGTCCGCTTGGACCACCCCACCCCAGGGTCGTCGCCTCTGCTGTGAGGCAAAAGAAAATGGTGGGATGGGATGTGCTGGAACAGGAGGAGGTGGAGAGGGATGGGGTGTGCTTACGGTGGGCAAGAAGACATGGAGGGATGGGTGTGCTCGTTCTTAGCCAGGAGGCGCTCCTGACAGAGCGCCATGGTCCATTACTTGAGGTGACGGTGGCGCTGGCCTCCAACAAGCCACAGGGAAACCAGTCAGAAACATTTTCGGCATTGCGTCTTGCAAAGAAACAAGAGTGGGGGTTATAAAGTCACCCTGAGGGGAATTTGTGATCGTTGCACCGTGTTGGGAGAGGTGCCAGTGGTAACATTGAGTCGCTCATCTGCCTCCCATCTCTCGGAGAGTTGGCATTTGGTGCAGCAGCATGTAGAATGGACTTTTGTTTTTTTAGAGGGAAATGAAAACAGGTTGAGGTAAAGAAGGCACAGATGGGCCAGACTTAACAAAGAACTGATTTGTGGCTGAAAGCCAGTAAATGCCCACCTCCTCCTTCAAAACACAGCTTCAAGAAGGAAGAGATCAGACCCACAAGGGGCTGTTGGGCAGCTCCTTTCTGTGGGATAGGAGGCTCTGAAGTCAAGCGTCTGAAAACACTGATGACTTTGATGTCTGTTAGAAGAAACATTTCACCAGCTCAGCTCAGAAACCCTTTGTCTTGCGTGTTTCCTGGGAGCAATGGCAAACCTGGAACAGGGCTGGGATTTCTCTCCCTGCCTAGGAAACCCTGCTTTTGCACGGCCATTCCCAAGAGGGTGGCTGGGCGCTGGCTCCGTCAGCATCCCACTGTGCACTCTGCCGGGTTGTGGCCTGCTGTCAAAGCAGTTTAGGTTGGCCCTGGAGGAGTTTCTGATGGTTTTGAGAAGATATTGCCTTAATCTCTTGTCCTTTGGTGTATAACCTATATGGCACATAGGCTTATTTGCTTGACTTGATGTGTTTAGGGTCTTTTTCCAGCTATGTGAACATCCCTGTCTGTAACCCAGCCCTGTCCAGGAAGAGCTGCCATACCCTGAGAGATGCTTAGGGCTGCATATCACAGTCATAGCCTGACGGATGCTCCATAAATCATAGCAGCCACTCCAGGACACCAGCACAGGGGGACAGGGTGCTTACCAAAACCCCTGCATGCCCCCAGTGCTCAGCAGTCCCAAATGCAGGGAGAGTGCTCGCTAACTCAGGCCACAGGGAAGGGGGACACACCAGTCCCTTGCGCTACTGGGCACGTGCGTGTTATTTTGCTCATTTATTTCGCTTGTTTAGGCAGAACCAAGGATGATCAGGGGCTTGTTCTTCGTGAATTCGGAGACAGATTTAATACTTGGGCAAATTATTTAAATGGCTGTTCCTCCAGTGAGGCCAAAAAGAAATGAACCTCAATTCTGTCCTGCTTAGCAGTACTTCCTCACCCAAAAGGGGGATGATCTTTAAAGACAACTTCTCCCTGTATCTCTGCAGCAACACAAAGAGATGGGCCCTTTTTTTGAGCATATGTGGGAGAGGAGATGCTTTCCTATCGGGGCAGCTGGGCACAAACCAGTGGGATAGTAGAGTCACAGGTATTCATTGACTTTCTTTTTTTTATTTTAAAATAGTGGTAAGGTAATAAGAACAGTGGGGGACTTTAGTGTACAAAATGGGTTAACAGACACGCCTGTGAGCCGGAGTATCTGAAGTGCCCATCTCCCACATTGCATCGCTGTGGTCAGAGCCATATATCTGAGTGCAGTGGTGTAAGGCAGGAAGCCCCACTGTTTAGAGGGGAGCTGACTTGCACCAGCTCTGGATCTGGCCCACCTCCCCACAGGTTTTTATTGGTGTGTGAGGGACTTACTGGTGTGTGACAAATCACAGTCCGTTATGGCGGGAACAGCACACGGCGGGGCTGCTGCCAATTATAGGATTGCACAATAGGGGCAGAACAAAAAAAAGTCCATTGTGGTTTCAAGCCACCAGCAAGCTCTGATGTTTTTTTGTTTCAGTTCCCTTAAATAAAGCGGTGTAGCTGTGGGAAGCACAGGCCCCTGGGAAGCTGCTCTACAGGAGCAGCCACAAAAGCTCTTTCTTGCCATGGCTCCACCAGGCAGGACCACGGGACCCCCGGTGGGCACAGCCACGGCGGGAAGCAGAGCAGCAGCCCAAGGAGCACAATCCCCTTGGAGCAGCTTTCCAGTTTATTTCTGTTTAACACCATCTAAGTTTTAGCACAGTTACACAGCCAAGAAGAGAGAATCGTCTTGAGATAACATGCCCAGGGCTTCGCCAGTGCCTGGGCAATGCGGTCTAACCAGGAACGTGTTATTGAAAGCCAACACGTGATGGACTCTCAGTATGAGTAACAGCAGCGGGCAGGCTTGCTGAAAGGAAATCGAATGTTGCAGAAACGAAATCAAGAGTAGGAGAGAAAGGAAAGTGGCTGTTTTTCCTCTGAACTCAAGTTATTTGTGCTGAATCAGCTTCAGGCTGTTTCTGTGCCTCCCTATAAGATCTTAAAATAAGTCTCTGGTACTGCTTCATTATTGGAGTTCATCTTCTGGTCTTCCCAAGGCTGCCTGGTGTTGACAGCTCCTGTGTTAACTGAGAAGCTGTTTGTTTCTCTTTCTCCCTTTTCCCGTTCCTGCAGACCGCAGAGTCGGCAGTTCCTGTTGATCCTCGTAAGTCCCAGCACCCAAGTAGGAAACTCAGCTCTATTGTCAGGAGCACAAACCAAAGGTCATTTCGGGAAAGCGCGGCAGGGTGTGGCCACGCTGAGCAGGGGTGATGATGGCCTCAGCAGCCTTTTTTGTTTTTTTCCATTTCTTAAGTCACACTAACTCTCTTGTTTGCTCTTCTCTGGCACCTTTCCTCCAGGGATCTCTCTCACCAATACAAGTAAAGCTTCATAAATCGTCAAGCCGTCAGCATTAATCTCAGCCTCACTTTTCAAGGAAATGGCTTTGTTCTGTGTTAGCAATTTTCTGGTGGCAACTGCAGCAAAGCTTTGGCCTCCAGCAGCTGCTTGTGCGCTGCCAACACCTCCAAGAGGGAAGAGGTTAATGCAGATTTAGGTAGTTAAGTTAAATACTCCAGCTAATTCGACTTTAGTTGCCGGTGTGATCCAGCACCAGACAAGAAAAGGAACTAAGGAGACCTGCCTGCCCACTGCTCAGATGTAACCCTCACTTGCACAGGTCTTATCTACTGTTTAAATATTACCTAGTGGCCCTACTACTCATTCTCCCTAATGCTGTTCTCTCTCGCCTGCTTCCCTTGAAAACTTAAACATCTAATTTTCTTAGCAAAGGTGAACTTGGCGTGGCTTGTTCATATATCACGGTGCCCTGTCACTGGCGGAGGGGATGAACACCCATCTTTTCCTCTGCGACCACCTGCGTGCCAAGCAGGCGGCATTAATTAATTACCTCCAAAATGCTTCTGAAAGATGACTCACGTGTACCTGATCTGGTGCCCACCAAAGCCAGGCTGGGTAAAGCAGTTTTCCTACTGAGACCAATAACATTTTGTTGAGGATGGGGTTGGACAGCAGAGCCCCTCCGTGATATCGCTGAAGTGGAAGCGAGTTTATATCAACTGCATGCTCTTTGCTCAAGGAGTAACTGTGAGGAAACTTAATTGACTGAATTTTCATGGTCAGAGGTTGTTATGCAGTCAATTCTGAATTAGCCAGGGCAGATAATCTGGTGAGATGAATTTTCTGTGAAAGCAGAAAGCGAAGACACTGCAGGTGGCTCCTTGTGAGGTCGTTCCTGATTCAGCCCATTGGTAGTCACCAAAAAGCTTTCTAAAGAGCCGAAAAGGACAAAAGAACAAGCAAAATTTACTAGGTTGTTTGTTAAGTGGGTTTTAGCACTCGTGAAGATGACAACATCCTCATAGAGGTCTGTCTTTGCAACTGCTATCCCGAAAAATTAGGCATTAGTGAAGTAGGCATTGGTGTTGATCACTCTTTATCAGGCTGGTGGAGCACTTGCTGAAGAGTTCTCCTCTCTGTGTGTAGGTGTCTTTGCAAACGCCAAGCATAGTGTTAGCACAGCTGCACCATCATTGCTGGGTTTTTGCAGAAGTCCTTCCTTGGATGGTGACTATGGCTATTTTCTGTCTTGCTATCTTTGTTGAGAATTTGAATGTGCTTCATTTCTGGAATTCTTCAGTGTTTGCTGGTCTGCCAGATCTTTTTCAGGCTCTGGCAACCTCCTATTTCCCCTGTTCCCTATGCCTCCTCTGCACTCTGTCATAATTTTTGTGTGTAGTCAATGCAGCAGGTGTGGGATTGAAAAAAAAACCACCAGGGAAATCCCATGTGTGAGACACTTGGCACTATCCTGACATGCCGGTGCCTTGCAGCTGAGCCAGCAATCTGGTAACCCATGCTCATTATCAGTGACTTGCTACCTATCACTGAAGTCTAATGGGAGAATTAAAGAATCCAAAGGAGCTTTGCTGGACACTGGCATGGCGACCTGGGATTCTTAGTCTGGCACCGAGTCAGTCCTCAGTGCTGCAGTGTCTCGCCTGTACTCCTCCAGTGCTCTTTGGTTGGGACAGGAGCTATTTTGCATGGTGGGAAGATTTTCAGACTATTCTGAATAATATTTTCTCTGTGCTGGGTTTTGGAAGTGCCTTGTTTGCATAATCTCCAATTGGGAAAAGAATCACTTAGTCCTCCTAAATCCCACAAAGCAGATTTAACTTCGGGCAAGATTGAATTTAGCAAGCAGATGGAACACAGGGCGAAAGGCGAACAGAATTAATAACAGAAAGTGGGACTGAACCAAGGTGGGGCACAGTAGCCTTCTCCTTTGAAATTTTTAGGGTTTAACTGCTTTATTCACACAGCTTTATGAAGATTAGACCTCTACATTTGGAAAAGGCAGACCTCTACAATTTGAATCATCAGTGATTTGTATGAATAAGAAACTAGGTGTGTTTGATAGGGGATCCTGGGGCCATGTCTTAGCTGTAACAAGAAAATAAGGATAATATGATTTGAGTTTCATTTCACAATGTCCACTTAGGAAAAAAAGGCACAAAATATGAAACTATATTGTGGATAGATTATCACAGCCCAGACCTCAGGAGCTGGCAGGAGCATGGGAGCAGGCTGTACCCTTACCCCACACATGCACAGCCTGCCAAGATAAACCCATTTTGGGGTGCTCTGGTGAGTACTGGCAGTCTCCAGCCACCAGAGCATCACTGGGGGAGGCTGTACCATTTCCATTGCAGGATCTGCACGCT